AGTAGAACGTTCATAATGTTCCATGGAACTGTGATACATGTGTCAGTAATGTGTCCACAATAAATTGTTTATTGTTGCAATATTACTTGTTAAAAATTCATTAAAATTACAATATGTACAGTTTCACACACTACACAGTAACACACTGTATTACACACTCAGTACTTCGGAAGTGAGTAATAATCAACGAAGCAATCCGTGGTACACAGCGCGACTTTGCTCTTGTTGCACCAGGTACAGATAGATTTTCACTTCCTGTTTCTTCGTTCTGTCTGCTTGTAAATAATGCACTCTCGTACACCCTTGACATCAGTACCTGTAGGTGGTATGTAGTTAAGCTTGTAAAACGTAAGGTAAGGTAGTCTTTAAAAGATTTCAGGAAAAGATCAATTTGTAAGGTAGTCGTGAAAAGTTCACTTTGTAAGGTCTCACATAAGAAGAGATTCGGCCAACCTCAAAGAGTGTCCGTCAATCAAGAAGAGATTCAGGTATTCCTGAAAATATCTATGGAAAATACCACAATGGAAGCTGCTAATACTGTTCATTTATGCTACTTGTATCAGATGCATCATCACTGAATGCAGAAAACTATTCATCTATGTATCATCTAAATAAATTGGAGATTGCATAGCATAGGTGGGCAAGGATGGCACTCAGAGCTACAATTGGATATGCTCGCTGTATCGTCCTCATAGGTGCTGAATCACTTGCATCCGACCTTTGTGTTAGGTCCTTATTGCACTTAGCTTCACCAATATTATGACACTTATGTTCTTCAAACAATAAGGTTTGAATTTCACCGATAGAGTGCGATCTTTCAACACTGCATCAGACAGGTGTTTGGGAGCCAGAGACGCGTGCACCACCCATGTTTGCTCACTCAGTATTAACCCAGCCAGCAGCCCTAGGGCATTCTGGGAATTTTTTCCAAGATGGCTGCCTCTCACTGGAGATCCTAAGAATCCATTTCATACACAACCAACCTCATGCACATCTAGAATGGATACAAAAAAATCAAGAAGAGTTTTCTAGGTTGGCGCAGTTTCCCACCGACCAAGAATACTCGGTTGGCGCAGTTAAGTGGTTAAGCAATAGAGATTTATACAAAATTTGAAAATATCCTGAGTTTTTGTATAATTTATTGAAAGATTTTAGTTTTGTTTTATTAGTTTTATAAAATTGTAATATCAACATAGCCATAGATTAAGTACTAATTGTAATTAAGAATCGATAAAATGCTTGTCCTCGTACACTAAGAAGGTTAGCTTAGGTCGTGATTTTCTATTCAGCTTTTCAGGTAAACTCAAATATTCACTATTTTGGTGTAATTCTGGGGATTATTTGAAAGTATGGTTTAATACTAAGTGTAATAAGTACAATTCCTGACTGCTAGGAATAGTACATAATTACACTGTAACTTGTGCCGTTACATTTACCTCCCCATATTCGGAGGATGGGCTGAGTGATCAGTGCGATACTACTTAGTGTCATCAGTCAGAGAGTCACAGAGTTCTGTTGGCCTACTGGGGACCACAAGTCAGAACCTGGCCTCTTCAGAGAGGTGCAAGGAGCGATAACTGATGAATACTTTACATTTAAGGTTAATCATAATTGCGGCCACCAGGGAAGCACCCAGAAAGTTAGGCGAACCAAAACAGACTACTGGTTGGTTAAAACAGACTACTGTACTACTAGTTTGTCCCATCTTTTCCCTCGTATGTGAGGGGCGAGGGAGATGTACCCGGTCAACTGATTTGCCCCACCTTCAATTTAATCTGAAGTGTGCCCAAGTCACACGTCGCTCTGGCTGCAGTCGACCATTTTTCGAGTGGTGCTTTGCTTTTGAGGCTGATTTTTACACGAGTATTGTGTGCACGAGTCAGAAGATTAGTGTGCTATAGCTGCATCAGCTCAGGGTTATCTTCCCTGTGAGCTCTTTTTGTACTACCTTTGTGTGGTCAGGGTTGACTTTCCTAGGGTGTTTGGGATACACTCCCTTTAGAGGATTTTATTCACGGGGTGGTTCTCGCCCTTTAGGTAATTTGGTGGTCTGAGGTGTCTATTTTCTGTGTGGTTGGGACTGTTTTGGGCTTGTGTCCCCGGGGCACATTGAGAGTTACATGACCAGTTATTCAATTAACACATAGATGCGCCGATGTTTCTCTCTGATTGCTTGTTCTTCAAGGTTTGGACTTTGGGGGGGGGGGGCTTGGTTTTTTGTGTTGAGTTTATATATCTCTGCCCTTTTTCTGCTTTTCGCCTTATTAGGCTTGCCTAAGGTGTGTGCGACTTAACCTTCTTGTTGCACCCTTTGACCTTTCCGTTGGCTTTGGGTAGCCAGGATTGCCTGTTATCAGCAGGGGTTATTGGCTTAGCATTCCCAGTGCCTGGGCTTCCTGCAGGGCTTATTCACCCTGCAGGCCCTGGAAATTCCCTACGAGATCCGTTTTACTATGGTCAGTCAAGCCTGGCTTCAGGTCGGGCTTAGGGTGTAGAAGAACTCTCAGAACCCCATCAAGCAGGTACCTCTTCCTAGCATCTTCTCGCCTTGTGTAATTTTGAGGGTTGTTCATCATCTGTGCCATCGGGTGACGCTCATACATTCTACCTCCACCATGCTGCCTGTTGGGTCAGTGACGCCTACGACACTTGAGTCATGCGGGACCTGTTCTTCCCATGTGCTGCATCTTACCCACTTCTTTGTTGAAGTACTCACTTCAGCTCAGTATTTAAGGTTTTTAGTGTTGCAGTGGTCTAGGTTGTGTGCCTGGTTGAATGGTTTGGATCTGCCCCACTAGTGTTTAGGGACTCTGATTTTGGGGTATTGGTCAACTCCACCTTGGTGCCATCTGCAAGTCCTCTTCCGGTGTGCCAGTTATGTCCTTCTCCATACCCCCTACTTTTGGCTCTTAAGTGTTTGAGGGCTTTGGCTTTGGATTAGGGTTTAGCTCATAATGTGGCTCGAGAAGATTCGGGGTTGGCCCCTTCCGACATGGGTATGGAGGCAGTTGAGCTTCTAGGTCCCGCTGGAGCTTCCAGGTCTTCCCAGCCGATCCCTCCTTTCGAAGCCTTTCCGTTGGACTCTGCTTTTCTTTCCCGTGCGGTGGGTATGGACGAGAGCTCTGCCCCTGGGTCCTCTTATGTGGTTCTCGGGGCTCAGGGGGAGTCGGAGTGGAGCTCTTGGGTTCTATTTGATGCTTTGTGGGCCCTCGTGTCTTCCACCAAGGAGCTTTTGTTGCAGGGCGAGGGGTTTTCGTAATTCCCTTCCCTGTGTGAGTTTAATTTGGATGCAACTATTCCCATGTTTGATTCCAAGTTCCATTGGGTTTCTCGGATTTGTCCTTCTGCAGCTTTTCCTCCTGGGTTTCCCGGCAGAGACTCTGAAGGCCTTTTTTGCTTACTTCCTGCATGACCCGGTTTAAACCTTGTTATGGATCCGATATGGATATTGAACTTATTTGAGTTCGGGTCTTCCTCTCCTTATTGGGTGCGTTACGTGGTTCTGGAGTTATCCTGGCTGGCAGACTGTACTCTGTTTTACCTTGAGGCTTGGCGCGAGTTTTGCCCTAACCACACGCTTGATTGGCAAGTGTTGACTGTTGCAAGTGTTTCTTGGAGCTGTCTTGATCCTCTCAAAGTGTGTGTCATCGCGCCTGCCCTTCCTCGTTATGTGGGTCTTGTGCAGCTGCATGCTCAGGTTTCTATTCAGTCTGCTGCTTTGGTCGTCGATGACCTACGTAACTGTTTACACTTTGATTCTGTTGTGAGTCTCTTATGTCTCCTGGTGCTTCATTCTGATTGGCTCTCAGAGGATGTAGATTCACTCAGTGAGGTTCCTCTTATGGGGGGTTTTGGTCTCTGCAGCTTTGACTTCTGCTGCCATCCTAAAGCTAAAGCTTTCTTAGGGGATGCAGTTTCCTTGATTTCTGCATCCCGTCTTCCATGGTGGTAAGCTGTGCTGGCACAGTCTCTGGACTGTGTGGCTCCTGGCTCTCACTTTGGCTTCTCCATTTAGTTCTTTGCTGTTCCTTGCAGACATTGTATCTCAGTTTTGTCTGTGGCTGCTGTTAGTTGCCATCCTGTTTCGGATCTGTTGTATGTCCGAGGGAGGGTTGGTCTCGACTTTCTCGGCGGTTTGGTAGAGCCAGGGTCAGCTGTTGGTCGAGGTGTGTCCTCTGTGGTGCCGGCAGCCAGGTTGGATGTGTTTCTTCTTTGTCTGATCAGTGCTGCGTTTGCTCTGCTCTGAAGGCTCACTCTTATAGTTTGTTCTGGCCCTTTCATGGGGTACTCATTTGACGGGGCAGTGGGAGGGGGGAAAGGCTAGCTTGGTTTGCTAGCTCTTGGTCCTGCAGTCTGTGGGCTTTTCAGTTCGTGTCTTGCAGCCTGCAGTGGAGTTGGTTGGCCTCACCTCCTTTGGAGGGTTCAAGGTTTTTGAGGCAGGTCTCCTTTCCTTGTGTTCATAGTCATCTCAGAGTGGGTGCATTCAGGCATGGTTGAAACGACCACGTCCCTTCTGTGGGATTCCCGCCCGTTTTTGGTCCTGAAATGTGATTGTTTGAACCCCTCGGTTTATTCTTGATCTTTCCTGATTGAGCCTGTGCATTCCCTACCTCTCCTTTCAGATGACTACAGTATCCCAAGTCTGTCTTGCTCTCAAGCTGGATACTTGGATGATTTCCCTGGACCTCCAGTATGTGTATTGACTGGTCCCTATTCATCAGGGGTTCAGGGATTGGTTAGGTTTTGTGATGTGGCGACAGGCTTTCCACTGTAATTATACCCAAACGTAATTGGGTTTCTCCAATTTGGGCTGAATTTGGCACTTTGCATTTTTAGCCTTGCATTTAATTTTGTTCTCATATAAAGACATTTCTCAATGCATAAATGTTCTTGATATAAAATGTTAATCATTCTTCTAAGTCCAAGCCTTTCATATCTCTCATTTGCAAGATCACTTCTTTATTTCTTTGCAATAGATATTTGCATGCATGGTATTTCAGGTACAGTGGACCAGCAAGGCAATATTAACAAAGTAACAAGCATTGGTGCTGCACAAGTGGCACAGCAGCAGCAGCAGCAGCAACAACAGCAACAGCAGCAGACTGTCCACCAGCAGGCAGTGCAGCAGACACAACCACAGCAGACAGTCCAGCAGGTGAGCACCAGCTTCATATAGCATTCTCTAGCTGCCCTATCACATATGGAGTTTGGGCATCATCATGATGGAAGTTAAATGGTCCAGTACCTTAACCCTCAAACCGCTAGGGGCCCAAATGGAATTCACACCCACAGGCGCAACAAAAAAAAAAAATTCCAAAAAATTCTTTCGTCTTATAGAAGTGTTCATTTTTGTTCCCTGATCACGGAAAAAAAAAAAAAAAATCGTAGGTGGCATATTTTAGCCGCAATAGGGTAGGGAAGTGTGGCAAAAAAGGGGCGTTGGCAGAGCCTTCGCCAGACGAGGTCTACTCCGCCCGAGCTGTCAGACGGCAGTTGCCACAAATATATTATTACCTAATTATTTCAATGTCTCTGATTGATTTTTTCTTAGTTTTTTTTGCAGTAATATTATTCCATACAGTGAATTGTGGTATATTTATATTATAAAATGTGTGAACCATCACTGTACTCAAAATTATGGTGTGCATATTAGTGATTCAATTATTATGTTCATAAAACAATAAACAAATAGTTTTGCTGTTGTTACACTATATACACAGGTTATATATAAGTATTTGCATGTTTTGTACACTATAACGAACTACTGAGTTGGTCTTGTGAGTCAAAAAGCAATGAGGAGTGACCGCCAAACACCAGCGAGCCACTCACTGCCACTCCCTCCCTCAACACCACCTCACTCACCCTCATTCACCTCCTACAATACTCTTTCTGTATTTATTCACTATACACAGACGTTATATATACGTATTTACATGTTTTGTTCACCATAACTGTACATCTAAGCTTGTATGGTGAGTAAAGGCAGAAAGATGTAGCTACTCACACAGTCAGCTGATCGGCGGCCGCCCTCAAGGCCAGACGCACTAATATTTGTCCTTCAACAATATTGTTTGTGGTGTTATTACGCTATATACACATATTATATATAAGTATCTACCTGTTTTATTCACCATACCTGAACAAATAAGCTGGTATGGAGCCCAAAGACCATAGTGGCCATCAGTAAACACCATGCCAAGATGTGCAGACGACGCTCTTCCCTCACCAAAATGGCGGCTCCCAACCTACTCCTCGCTGTTATCACACACTATACACACGTTATATACAAGTATCTACATTTGTGTTCACCATATCGAACCACTAAGCTGGTATGGTGAGTGCAGTCAATAATTGGTGGCCACACAGTCAGAAGACGACGCCACAACCCTCCCTCGCACAGCCTTACGCCTCCCTCCATGGAGCACAGCGCTAAATATCACCACAATCCTGCTATTATCAGAATCCTGGTCAGTTTTATCACAGTCAGGGGGCTTCAGTAATACTATCACTGCTAAATAATAGCAGTATCATATATATTATGGTATTTGTAGGCGATGCTGTGGTCACAAGCTGATCAGCGGTGCTGTGAGCTCGTGCTGCGTGCGCCAGCCTTGGTGGCCTGCTCAATACTGACGCTGTAACACCCAAGAATGTTGGCCTGGATTTTTTTTCTAGGTGGCATCTGGCAACTATCGGTCGTGGCTGTACTATAGCTGCCCCTATCCCAGGCGGGGAGTTTAAATTATAGCGCTAGACACGAAATCATATATAAATGATGTGCGCGGTTTCGGTTTTGTCACTGATATCATTTATATATGATATGCGCGGTTTGAGGGTTAATAAATGTCAAAACAAAATATTTCCATAGTTCAGTATTGTTTGTAGCTTCCTTTATTTATTTTTTTGTTTTCTTGATATTGAGGTAAATGTAATGAGGAAATTCTGGAATGAGCTGATGAGTATTAAGGTGACATTTTGTTGCTTTATCTTGTACAGTAATTTTCATTTGTTTATAACTTTGAAAATCATTTGTTCCTTGAATCCTGGTTCATAAATATCATAAAAAAACTTTGCCAGAATCATATTTCTACAGTTTCCATACACATTAGGGGCGCACACATTTTGCACACACATACACAAGGTAGAAGATAGAATAAATGGATGTCAGACCATTACCAAATACAAAATAGTGACAGGAATAGACATAATTGATAGGGGAGGAATTTTTGTAACTACAACTTCATGCGTAAGTGGCCATAGATTCAAGCTAAGGGAACGTGGCACCGAAAGAATACACAAAAGTTTTCTTTTGTGAACCAAGGTGCAGTGCAGGTGAACAGAGGAACAATTTAAGTGGGAAGAAAGTGGTGGATACCAAAACCATCAGATGTTTCAAAGCATCATATGACAGAGGTTATAGGGAATATGGTACACCTTGGGCAGGGCTCTCATCATGTAACTACACTTATGCAATTACTAACACAGTAATTACCTAAGTGTAATTACCTAAGTGTAGTTACAGGATGAGAGCTACGCTCGTGGTGTCCTGTCTTCCCAGCACTCTTTGTCATATAACGCTTTGAAACTACTGACGGTCTTAGCCTCCACCACCTTCTCACTTAACTTGTTCCAACCGTCTACCACTCTATTTGCGAAGGTGAATTTTCTTATATTTCTTCGGCATCTGTGTTTAGCTAGTTTAAATCTATGACCTCTTGTTCTTGAAGTTCCTGGTCTCAGGAAGTCTTCCCTGTTGATTTTATCAATTCCTGTTACTATTTTGTACGTAGTGATCATATCACCTCTTTTTCTTCTGTCTTCTAGTTTTGGCATATTTAATGCTTCTAACCTCTCCTCGTAGCTCTTGCCCTTCAGTTCTGGGAGCCACTTAGTAGCATGTCTTTGCACCTTTTCCAGTTTGTTGATGTGCTTCTTAAGATATGGGCACCACACAACAGCTGCATATTCTAGCTTTGGCCTAACAAAAATCATGAACAATTTCTTTAGTATATCGCCATCCATGTATTTAAATGCAATTCTGAAGTTAGAAAGCATAGCATAGGCTCCTTTCACAATATTCTTTATGTGGTCCTCAGGTGATAGTTTTCTATCTAGAACCACTCGTAGATCTCTTTCTTTATCAGAATTCTTTAAAGATTTCTCACATAATATATAGGTTGTGTGGGGTCTATGTTCTCCTATTCCACATTCCATAACATGACATTTATTAACATTAAATTCCATTTGCCAAGTGGTGCTCCATATACTTATTTTGTCCAGGTCTTCTTGAAGGGCATGACAGTCATCTAAATTTCTTATCCTTCCTATTATCTTAGCATCATCAGCAAACATGTTCATATAATTCTGTATACCAACTGGTAGATCATTTATGTAGACAATAAACATCACTGGTGCAAGAACTGAACCCTGTGGTACTCCACTTGTGACATTTCTCCATTCCGATACATTGCCTCTGATTACTGCCCTCATTTTTCTATCAGTCAGAAAATTTATCATCCATATTAGAAGCTTACCTGTCACCCCTCCAATATTTTCCAGTTTCCAGAACAACCTCTTATGTGGAACTCTGTCGAAAGCCTTTTTTAGGTCCAGATAGATGCAGTCAACCCAACCATCTCTTTCCTGTAATATCTCTGTGGCTCGATCATAGAAACTGAGTAAATTCGATACACAGGATCTTCCAGATCGAAAACCATACTGTCTGTCTGATATTATATCATTTCTCTCCAGGTGTTCTACCCATTTAGTTTTGATTAGCTTTTCCAATACTTTCACTATTACACTTGTCAATGATACAGGTCTATAATTGAGGGGGTCTTCCCTGCTTCCACTTTTGTAGATTGGAGCTATGTTAGCCTGTTTCCACACGTCTGCTACGATTCCTGTACACAGGGATGCCTGAAAGATCAGGTGAAGTGGAATGCTGAGCTCAGATGCACATTCTCTCAGAACCCATGGTGAAACGCCATCTGGGCCAGCTGCTTTGTTCCTCCCGAGCTCCTTTAGCATATTTTCCACTTCATCTCTAGACACCTCTATCCGCTCAATGTTGTTCTCTGGAATTCTTATTGTGTCTGGTTCTCTGAAGATTTCATTTTGTACAAACACACTTTGGAACTTTTCATTTAATGTTTCACACATTTCCTTTTCATTTTCCGTGAATCTGTTTCCCATTTTCAACCTCTGGATATTATCCTTTACCTGCAATTTGTTGTTTATGAATTTGTAGAATAGGCCCGGTTCTGTTTTACATTTATCTGCTATCCCTTTTTCAAAATTTCTTTCTGCCTCTCTCCTTACTGCTGTATAGTTGTTTCTCGCATCTTTGTATCGCTGGTATGTTTGGGGGTTTGGCCTCTTCCTATACTGATTCCATTTTTGTGTCTTTTGGTCTCTTGCCCTCTCACAATTTCTGTCGAACCAATCCTGTTTTCTGTTACTAACACAGTGAGAGTGAGAGAATGCATGGTAGTAAGTAAATGAATGAGTGAGTGACTGAGAATTAGTGAATGTGAACATGTGAGTTTGTGTGTATGCAAGTCTATCTCAAAATTAGTTTTGGGATGCTTGACCCTGACTAGTATCATTTAGTACTTAAATTCAAATTTTAACCAAAATAAGTTGAGGCATTTGGCTTGTTATGCGACTTTAGCTTTTATAGAATTTTAAAATGTTTGCGTTACAATGAGGTGCAGTTTGTTAACATTTCACTGTGTTAGTTATAGACATTAAAATAAAGGCTTATGTTCAAATGTAAGTAATTAACATGAATCTTAGAAATTATTCTTATGTACTAATCTTGAAAATGGTACGCATATATACAGTATTGTAATTGTGAGGATGTGCAATGTTAGCAGGTACAAGAGGAGCAAGCACAACAACTCCATCAGCCAGAGGAAGGTGTGGGTGGGGGCCACCACACCCACCAGCATCAGCAGCAGCAGGAGGCATCACCCACTACACTTGAGGAACTGCAACAAGCCCTGTCATCAGGCCAAGCTATCCTTCAGACGGCAGACAATGGCTCAGAGCAGACCCTCCAGATGGTTGAAGGACAATGTGAGTTAAATGTAAAAAATTATTTTATTGTATGATTTTGTCTCGGGCATTTGGCTGCTCCCTAAAACACCTTGGACCTAAAACTGGTATTTGTTTAGTCGGAGCAGATCAAGAAGGGTCACACTGAAGAATCCTTGATCCAGACTGATGATGTGATCACACTGGAGAATCTCTGATCCAGACTGGATGCTGGGGTAACTGGAGAATCCTCGATCCAGACTGGAAGGATTTTCAGAAAGCGCGTTTCAAAAACTTATAGCTTTTCAAAAACTTATAGCTTTTCAAAATGGTTATTAGCAACTCCAGGATTGCTGGGTAGCATTCCGCAAAAACACACGATTCCCTAATCAAAGCCACTTCACATTTTGACTTGATAGTTTGTGTTGTTTAATGATGGATAGGTGAAAGACTGAAATTAAACTAAATGGTTTGGTTTTATCCTCAGAAAGTAATATTTGATTGTGCTTTAAGCCAATTATTGGTGGACATTTCTTGAATGTGTGTATAGCAGTTGTTTGTTTTAACTGTTTAATTGACTAGGTATAAGAATTTCATTTATCATTCTGGACCAGTTTGTGCAATTACAAAAATTAATGGTCTCCTCTTTGAGTCTTTCACTACATTTACAGTCCCATGGGGCTTTTTACCTTGAATATAAGCATAAATGCTGTTGCAGAATGTACAACTGGTTGCAATACCACCTGTGAGAGGGGGGTATGCTAAATTCAGTTCATCTATAGCTACATCTTGCTAGAATTAACACTTGACAAGAACAGAAGCCTTGAAAACTTTTCTGCTGGGTTCACAAGAGTGGAAGCATTAAAAACTGCCAAACAACCCCCTTCCCCCAAATAATGTATGCTATGATTGAAATTCACTCGAACCCATTAATACCAACCCACTACCAACAGGGGGGGGGCCCAGATTCCTGACCCCCCCCCCACCAACCTTTGCAAGTCAGTTGTGGTCAACTCTGGTCATCCACTGTAGTGCTCCTGGGCTATTAAGAATTGCACAGGTCCTGCTGCTCTGTGCTAAGTGTTGGCTGTCCTTGGACTTGGTACTATTTTACGAGTTCCTTGTGTAATGTTCCTTACTTACGTACCCGCCTAGTTGTACTTGTGGGGGTTAAGCTTCGGCTCGTTGGTCCTGCCTCTCAACTGTCAATCAACTGGTAATTACCTAAGTGTAATTACCTAAGTGTAGTTACAGGATGAGAGCTAGGCTCGTGGTGTCCCGTCTTCCCAGCACTCTTTGTCATATAACGCTTTGAAACTACTGACAGTCTTGGCCTCCACCACCTTCTCCCCTAACTTGTTCCAACCGTCTACCACTCTGTTTGCGAAAATGAATTTTCTTATATTTCTTTGGCATCTGTGTTTAGCTAGTTTATATCTATGACCTCTTGTTCTTAAAGTTCCAGGTCTCAGGAAATCTTCCCTATCGATTTTATCAATTCCTGTTACTATTTTGTATGTAGTGATCATATCACCTCTTTTTCTTCTGTCTTCTAGTTTTGGCATATTTAATGCCTCTGACCTCTCCTCGTAGCTCTTGCCCTTCAGTTCTGGGAGCCACTTAGTAGCATGTCTTTGCACCTTTTCCAGTTTGTTGATGTGCTTCTTAAATTAAGATATGGGCACCACACAAGTGCTGCATATTCTAGCTTTGGCCTAACAAAAGTCGTGAACAATTTCAGAAATTGTTCTGATGGTGTACAGGTTCCTGAGCCTATTGGGCTACATCATATCTACATTTGAAATCAACATACTTATGTATGGAGTCTGCCTCCACCACATCCCATCCAGTGCATTCCATTTATTTGCAGTGCAAATAAATCCAGTGCATTCCCATCCAGTATCATTCCATTCATTCCATTCCATTCCATTTGCCCAGACACAGACAAAGTTCTTTCCAACATCCCTGTGGCTTAGTTGGGTACTAAGTTTCCACCTGTGTTCCCTTGTTTGCATACCCCCCTTGCTAAATAGTTTATCTACCCTGTCAATCCCTCTTAGAATTTTACAGGTGATGATCATGTCTTCCCTAACTCTTCTGTCTTCAAGTGTTGTGAGGTTTAGTTCTAGTAATCTTTCCTTGTAGTTTATACCCCTCAGCTCAGGGACTATCCTGGTGGCATACCAGCAGTAGGTAGGCAAACCATATCACCAGGCATGCCACTCACAAGTCAAGCAGGGCTCCAAGCCAGGTTTGGGGAGTAGAACCCCCAGAACCTAATCTAGTTACTGCTGAAACTTTTCTAACTTCATTTTGTGTTAGACTGGATATGGACTCCATACTGGAGCCACATACTCTAGTATTCGTCTGACATATGAGTTATATAAGGTTCTGAATGATTCTTTTTACAAGTTTCTCTATGCAGTTCTTATGTTTACCAGCCATGTATATGCCACTGATGATATCCTTTTGATGTGGACTCCTGCATAAGGCTTGGTTTTGGATTCTCTGTTGTCGTTGCTTTCCTTGCCTCCTGCAGCCTTAATCTGGCTGCAGGTCCACCATCTTCTGGTGTTGAAGGGGAAGCCGAGTGACTCGGCAGTTGCTCGAGTAATTGTGAGGGAGCCTGAACTTTGCCCTTCTGGTTTTTCTTCTGAGCCGGGTTTGGCTTTTGAGGCTGCTCTAGTTTTTATGGGGCTGCCCCATTCACCTCATGATCACTGGGTGCTGACTCAAGGGGGCCCTGTGCTGGGTACTGCATCACCGCTTCCTCTAAGGGTTTTTTGGGTTTAAATTCCCTGGCGCTTTCCTCCGCCCTCACTTGACTTCTTTAGGGATGCCTCAACTCTTGGTTGGGGGCTTTGTGACCTGCACTGACCAGTCTGGCAAAGTCGTTGGCTCCCTTCCCTTTGTTGGGCACACAGTCTGGTCCAGGAGCTTGCAACTGTGTGGCAGGCACTGCGGAGAGTTTGGATTCCTCCAGTTGCCACTTCCTTCCTCTGGCTTTGATCACTTGGACGTCGACCTCTTCACCTCGGTGTGGTCTCGGCGTCTGCTTCTTCATGTAGCGCTGTTCGCTGACTGTGAGGCCCTCAGTCTTTATGTTTTTTAACTGGACTGGTCGAGATGGGGGTTCCTTTACCCTGAATGCTGGCATGTCTGTAGTCCTACAGGGGAAGAGTGATTCTCCTGGCTCCTTGGTGCCCGGCCCAGCCATGGTTTCAGGCGCTGTTTATTCTGTGTCCAAACCTGGTTGTTTTTTCGTGGCTGCACGAAAGTGATCAAGTGGCTGGTTTAATAGTATTCCACATGCAGTCTTTTTCCCTGCTAGAGTCTGAAGTCTCTTGGCACTCCTGTCATTTCCTGTCCCTTTGTTGTTGTTCTTTGGTTTCTGCATGGGTTGTTCTGTCCATCCAGTCTTGGCTGTCTCGTGGCCAGTGTATTATGCCAAATACTGTTGCCTTTTATCATGCGGCAACAAAGCTGCTCCAGCTTGCTTTCAGGGTTGATGCCTCTTCTGCCTCGTTTTGTAAGCTTTCTTGTGCTTTGTTTCACTTCCAACCTGCTCATGCACTGCGTAGTCCCTTGACCGGGTTCTTTCTTTTCTTCTGCTCGGTTTATGGTGGCCCCTTCAAACCAGGATTGTTTTTTGAAGGGTTTGTTTTTGGTATTTCTGGCCTATGGGTGCTGGGTGAGCGAGCTTCATGCTCTTTTTCTGTGCTGGGGGTTTCGTTCTTTTGTCTCTGGAGGGTGTTTTGTTCAGTTGCAGCCAGCTTCTTTTCTGGTGAAGAGTGATTCGTCTGGTTTCCAGATGGGTCCTTTGGTCGTGGTCGTAGTTTAACAATCAGCCGGCAGTTAAACAATTGATAGATGTTGTTAGCTGGTGGCGTCTGGGCCACCGCCGAGACGGCAGATGCAAGTGTCTCGGGTACTGTAGGGTGGAGGAGGGAGGCGATGTGTCTAGACAATACGTATACGGGCACGTATTGTTGTTGTCGTTGATGTTGAATCTTTGTTGTAGCATGCTGATAAGTAGGCGGTAAAGGAACAGGCAGGATTTACTGCTAAGTAGGACTTTACCGTGACAGTGGAAAGACTTTACGTCCAGATAAATGCAATCAACCCAATCATCCCGCCTGTAAAATCTGGTTCTCTCATAGAAGCTAAGTAGATTCGTTACACGGGATCTTCCAGATTGAAAACAATATACTCCCTCTGTTATTTTATTATTTCTCTTCAGGTGTTCTACCCATTTGGCTTTAAATATTTGTTCTAATATTTTGACTACTACACTTGTAAATGATTCAGGTCTATAATTAAAAGGGGTCTTCCCTGCTGCTACTTTTGTAGATTTGGAACAATGTTAGCTATTTTCCATATAGTTAACCAAGACTCCTTCCATATTGTCTTGGCTTGGATATTTTCCATATAGCCAAGCCAAGACCTCTGTACACAGAGATGGCTGAAAAATCAATAGATGTGGAATGCTGAGCTCAGGTGTGCATTCTCTCAGAAGCTAAGGTTAAACTCCATTTTGGCCAACTGCTTTGTGCCTACTTAGCTCCTTGAGCATTTTTTCTACTTTGTTTTTAGACACCTCTATGTGCTCTATGTTCTCTGGAATTCTGCTTGTCTGAAGAATTCATTTTACACAAACACACTTTGGAAATATTCTATTAGTGTTTCATACATTTCTATTTCATTCTCCAAGAATCTCTTTCCCATTTTCAACCTCTGAATTTTATCCTTTACCTGCAATTTTCTTTTAATGAATTTGTAGAATAGGCCTGGTTCTGTTTTACATTTGTCCGCTGTTTCCTTCTCAAAATTTCTTTCTGATGCTCTTCTCACTTGTGTAGTTGTTTCTTGCATCTTTGCTGATATGTTTGGGGGTTTGGCATCCTGTTTCCCAGTTCTGTATCTTTTTTTTTGTATGAATTTTTGTCTTCATCATATATTTGACAAAACTTGACATACATCTCATTTTATTTCTTGCCTAACAGAAAGTCATTCCAATCAAATTCATTAAAGCCTTTGCCAAG